TTCATCTGGGTTCGATATGATACTTGACATCATGAGGGATCTTTGTATGATCTGATCAGCCATTGTTTCTTCCAATATAGCCTAGATTTTTAAAGCATCACATTTCCGTATAAGTTCTTTCATACTTATTTCCTCTTATAGCCTCGTTTAATGACTCATTCTTTGTCTGGATTTCGTCTTCCACCTAATCCGAATCTACAATTTTTAAATCAAAAATCTAATTCCAACCAAACAGTAGCATCTACAAATACACAAGATAATAATACTATGTCAGAAAATAAAGTACAAAATATTTCAACAGATCAAAACACTAATGGAAATGCTCATTTAGAATCGGCCAATATTTCCGCCAGTATGCAAGCTTCAGTGGATCGGTTATTTTTACTACATGGTCAAATGTCATCTACTTCAACAGATATGAATATTTCTATGGCAGATCACCATGAACATAACATATCCACAACAGTACGAAACTCAATGTTATTATCTCGTTCTACTGCTCTAACAGGAGGTCAAATGCAGTCAATTACAGAAGAATCGTCTCATTCATCATTTGATCCTGTTAATAATGATCGATTGGCAGTAAAACAATCTGTCAGTGTTGATGATACTACCAGTCATCGAAAATCTCCATCATCTTCATCACCATGTAACAGAACAATGTCTGGTAGTTTATCACCTAAAGAGATGGTTGCATCAATGCAAAGTTCAATTATTATCGATATAGAAAGTGGTGAGTGTGTTGTGTTTTTGTGTTTATACAAATATATAATGCAAAACTGATAGAAATTTCAAGCATATCTACTCAATAACCCTAATATCTTTGTCGAATATCATGAAAATCGAATCAATTTCCTTGTTGGGATTGGTAAGACTTTCATTCAGACGCTTATATATATATATGATGATTATGCTGACATCAATAATCGATGAAAGGCTGGTTATGTGGTCGCAGTTTATCATGATCTGTTTATCGGTCATTCGTTTGTCCTTACACAGAAAAATTGATCTGTGTGTGTGTGTGTGTCTGTACATCTCCATGTCATATTTTACCACCACGCCGGCTAGATTAGACATGTTTTTCATTTTGTCTCTGCGCTATTCTCTTTATTTTCTTGTTTTATCCCAATGGTTTGTGTTTATTAGACTATTTAAATATTATATCTAGGTTACTAGGGTCAATCTATATTTCATATTTTGTGTTGCTATATTTAATCCATTCGATAGAGTCTGATTACCAAGTCATTCAGTCTACTAATACGGTTGCATAGGAATTCAGGTCAAGTTTGTGGATTTGAGGACATGATATATTGAGTCAGTTGGTAATTTACTAAGACAGTTGGTTAACACTAACGGTAATACTACTATTCCGTTCACTTTTATGACTTAAACTGTGGGTGAGTTGGTTGTAAACGAACATTATTCGACAACAGAAATTTCTACAACACAATTTGTCCTATTCGTCTTAGTGAGTTTCGTTAAAACTAGGTTAGGCATTACGGGTTTTGTTACAGATCATATCATCACTTGTTATCTTATAAACTCTTTGTTTGTTTTGTGTTTGTGTATTTTTTATTTGGAGTTTAAAGTCTTTACAATTATCATTTTCATTATATTCAAGATAAAGATGGTCATAAACTCGGTTCACATGCTGGTGATTTACTGCATGAATTTCAAAAACGTCGTCTTGATAGAGAAAATTCTCAAGTGCCCAATACTACTTCCGGTGCTAATAGCAATGATCAGTCATGTTCGGTTACACCTGTTAGTTGTCTTTTTGTGTTTTTATCTTCTATGCATTACCCCTTTATCGTTTGTTTTGTCATTATTAAGTGTATAAATCATCAAGTGGATAAGACTATTTCATTAATCTGTAACTCTTGAAATGATGGAAAATCTTCACAGCTCAGGTGATTGATTTTGGTAACATTGAGTTCTCTGAGCCTGATAATTCAAATAGTGAATAAGTTATCCAATCAACGTGAATACTGTTTGAAGTAGGTATTTACATTAGTATGTAAGAGACATACATGTGTGAAACGAAAAGTGTTAAGATAACAGATTGTGTGTGTACGTAAGTGAGAAGAAATGTAATTCAAATATATATTGTCTTCAGTCTGTGTCTATTAAGAAAATTTATCATTTTATATACGATATTAATCAAAAATGTCACAGCATGCATTAAAAGAAGATAAATAAACAAGATAAGACTGAATTCAAAGAGGGATGTATTTGTAATTGAAAGTTTGTGTTATTTTAATGTTCCAGTCAATTGTTCAACATATTCAGATAACATAACTGATTTGAACCGTTGAATGTATTATCTATTTATTAGTTAATATGATATAAATAGCTAGAATGGAATAATGAGTTCAGGTTTACTTATTAATTATTAGTTGCCATGCGACAGCTAGTTGCATTCCATCTCTCCTATTAATAGTGTATGGATTAGCCCATATATGTAGGGCTTTGGCTGTCAGTCGTTCTTTGTAAGAATCAAAACCTTTCTGAATGATTCTGGCGTCATTGAAATCAATTGTATGACCCGATTCTATCGAGTGTAATGCTATCGCTGATTTGTTCTCAAGTTTTGTTACATCATCTGAGGGTTTAGGAATGTGCTTTAAGCACAGTTTGTGTTCCTTCTCCCTCACATTCAGTTGCCTTGATGTTTCACCTACATACGTTGCATTACAGTCATTAAATTTGATTTCATAAACACAATTCTTTTGTTCTTCCTTGTGAATCGCATCTTTGATTCTTACTAGTTTTGATCTTAAAGTATTGTTTGTTCGAAAGAATACTCTTATATTTTAAAGAGTTAAAATCCTTCTGATCTCTTCTGAAATACCTTTACGATATGGGATCACCTGTGTGAATCCATTCTTTCTGCTTAACTCTTTTCTTAATAATATCATTTTGTTCTTCATTCTTAATTATTCTTTTAATCAAATCCTTCGGATAATTATTCATTATTAGAGTGGATACAATTAAATTCATTTCCATTTTTATATCATTTGGTTCAGTGACGAGTTTTTTTATTCTGGTGATCAAATTTTTGGCTACTGTCACTTTGGTAAAATGTGGATGCGCAGATTTAAAATCTATAGATTTCCCTGAATATGTCGGCTTTCGTAAAATACTAATTTTTAAACAATCATTACACTTCCTTTCAACTAAGCAGTCTAGAAACGGTGATTTGCGTTTAGGAGATTCCAACTCTTTAGTAAACTTGATTTTGTCATAAATGTTGTTGACACGTTGAAATAGTTCGTCTAAACCATCTCGTTTTATAATGATAAAAGTGTCGTCTACGTATCTTAACCAAATTTTCACACTCAATATTCATCTTATTATTTCTAATTCAAATCTTTTGGTTTAACTAGAATTGTTATGCCAACTTTTTTCATCAATATCTATTTTTCTGCCTACTTATTATTGAACTTTCATACAGAAATTATTAATTTTTATCGAAATCTCTGTAGCTTGTGATTTATCAGCCTGTAACAATCAACTACTCTAACTTCATTCAAGCAAATTTATCATATCTATGTAATTCATTGCATACTACCTCTCTTTTGACTACTTAATTTTATCGAGTTTCATTTATAAATATTCTATTCTTAATTGTAAATTATTTTCTTTCTACTTATTTTATATGATCAATCAATTTCAGAAATGTTATTAGTTAACCGCTTTATCTTCCAACTTTATCATGATGAAGTGACAGATAAATACAACAATCGTTACATTAGATCTAAGTTATTGTATATGGCATGATAATAAGTGAAAGTCTGCAAAATATGATCGTGAACATCAATAAATGGATAATAAACTGATTAAATGTAAAAAATTATTATTATTTTCTTTTTTTCTCGGGTTTCCGTCCATGTGTCGATAGTGCTTTCTACCCTAAGAAAATCTTGAAGGCTCTGTACGCTAACACATGAGACAGGACACCTATCTCATTTGTTCCTATCAAAAACTTACAAATGTGTTTTACAGATGTCATCTCAGTGGCTTACAGTTTGTAGATTAATTGAAGAAAGGACAGGCTTGTATGGTTTATGACATGGTGTGGTGGTACGAAAGCTAGTTGTGTAAGACTGGCATTTGCCAGTCCATCACCACCTGAATGGAGTCCTGGAGATAATACAACTGAGTAGTTTGAGTTGCTATTAGATAAGGCTCAAAATAAAAACCAATGGCAATCTTACTGTAGTTTCCTAACACACAATTTATAGTAAGATGGGCTTCACAAACTGGTAGGAGCTTTCCTTGGCTTTATATTTAACTGAAATGTATCTTAATAAATATTATCACTGTTATCTTCATTGGTGATAGTACTACTACTACTACCTTTCTTCTCTTTAGTTATTCAAAATACTATCTTATTTGTGTGGAGCATATTTTTGGTGCCCTGTCGTTCCAGAATGTACTTGCTCTAAATAAATAGATTTTAAAAAGTTATAACGTTTAATAAAATTGTCCAATCATAAGTTGTATTTCGCTTTTAGTTTCAACATCCTCAGGGATGTCGAAAAATCGATTTAAGCATCTTATGTTGGTTTATTTTGTCAACTAACTCATTTTTCTTTTTTATATACAGATCATTAGTCAAGCTACAAAAAACACTACTCAGCTATCTGAAACTATTGAACCTAATGTAAATGAAAAACCATCTATAATTTATTCTTCCTCACAACCACATTCACAACGTACTGACATGGATAGACCATGTAAACGTAATGGTAAATTATCGGAAACCTCTGATACCAGTCCTCAATCCCCACGTTACATACCTGTAACAATTTTAGAAGATAGTCAACCAATACGTTGTGTTGCATTTCATCCATCTGGACGATTATATGCTGTCGGTTCGAATAGCAAATTTTTACGTGTATGCCAATATCCTAATGTACAACACCTTAGGTGAGTCTGTGAGCAAGCTTTACTTCAACATATTCCGTTTTTTTAATGAGTGTGTACGTTGGACCTTTTGGATCACTTTAAAATCGAGATGTTTTGGGTAACTATTACCACTGATTGATTTATGACAAGAGAAATTACCACACAAGTAGAAAAACATTCTAAGGTTATACATGCTATAATACTAATGCACATCAGTTCACTGTGTAAGCTTATATGACATGAGTAATAAACTTACATTACATTTATACTACCGTGATCATTTGAACATATAAAAAAACATATGACAAACGATCTACCTTATGATCTGTCCAACTTTAATTGCTCGTCGTATTATCTGTCATACGTATTTCTTATGTGTAATGGATATTACACGGCAGTGATCTTCATCCCTATTATATATCATCCGTTTATTTAAATAGAACGACGTTTCTTCTAGTAGTTTTTCATTCTATTATCTGTTTCGGTTACCTCCCTATGACTTTACGTCCAAGTCCATAAATTTTTTTTTTCATGACCTAAAAGTAACTAACAAACATGTGGTTAGTTTTATTTATTCGTCGAATCGATTACACTCCGATGATCGTCCCAAGTGAAGATAATTTTTGTCATCCAGTAAATATTTTTTAATGTTTTTTTCTTGTAGTGCTAATCATGTAGCTACTTCTCCAGTAGTTCTAGTGAGACGTCAAAAATACCACAAAGGTAGTATATATTGTGTTGCTTGGAGTCCAGATGGTCGTATTATCGCAACAGGAAGTAACGACACTACAATTCGTCTACTTCAAATGGATCCAACAACTGGCATACCAGATGCTGCTTATGGTGATCCAGAAATTGCAAGTACCGCTGGACAAGCCATTGAGCTAAGGTATCATGATGGCACAGTACGAGATATTGCATTTCTAGTAAGTTTTTCAGGATACCACTTTGATTGTTTTTGATTCAGGCTACTTGATGTAGTAGAAAATAGATTAAAAATAAGTGTGTTGCTAACTATAACATGATACTTTTTTTAAACAGTTGTCATATGATAGGTTGACCATGAAGTCAAGTATTTTAAACGACGAACTATGTTTTTATCAATCAATAAAGATGCAACTAAAATTGACAATTCTTTGTTGGTATTCAATTGTCAAACCAACTATTTTACGTTATAATAATTTTGTAGTGGGTTTAAATCGTTCGAACACAAGACGACCTACAGTAGTCATCTGACTAAGTTATGTGTTTTCTTATAAAAAATCGAGACAGTGGCATTACAATAAATTATGTGCACTCATTTTTGTCTGGCTGTTAGTTTAATACAACTTTGTATTGTAAAATAAAATAAGAATGCATACACTTTATATAAATTAAATAAATCAACTGGGATTATGCGAACTCAGATGTCTTATAGTTGATTACATGTGTCTATTTGACATACTATTGGTAATTGTGCTTTCATACATCTCCCCTGAATAGATATGATGTATATCAAATAAGACGCTTATAAATATTTCATTACAAAATTATTTTATCAAACATGTAAACATGTAATCTATCGTGTTGCCAGTAAATAATAATAATGTAAAACGTTGCTATAACGACTGAATCACACAACTTTTAACCAATAAATTACAAGTCCAAATCCCTCTCCATCACTTTCGGTTTGCTCAGTCGAACTGTATTACTAGCCCTCTTACCCTAAGTAGTGTGACTCATAGTCAATTACGCAAACATTCGTATGGTGAATAAGTTACATTAGATTACAAAAAGTGTGAATGTAAATAACAGTTTATAACAAGTTACGTTATCCCATTAAATGCATTTTAAATTTCTCTGTTTGTTTACTTTGTTTTATAAATTAAATGTAGTTAGGAAGTTATCCATGTTCAGATACAATTACAAGTACACCATGTAGTCATTTACTAAGTGCTGGTGCAGGTGATTCTCGTATTTATCTTGTTGATTGTAATCGAGCCCAAACATTTGATCTATCTACACCGAAGTCCACTCCACCTAATTATGTTGTACGTTCCATGTCTGGGCACACAGCTGCAGTTTATTCATTATCTGTATGGAGTCCTGGTTCATTGTTTGTTTCTGGTAGTGCAGATGCTACTGCACGTCTATGGGATTTACGAGCTCCAGCTCCTGTGTTAATTGTTCCATCTTATTCAGGTTCACAAGGTTAGTTCTCTCTATTTGTATGTCTGTGTACACATGTTCGTTTCTCTGTCTATTATTGTACTAGTAGAAAATTGAATTCTTATTTTATAAATGGTTCAATAGTGACCTAACACACGTGGTTCACTAGAGTTATTGGTACACGTTTGTAGCTGTAGGATTCAGGTTTGCTTTCCAGATTGTAAAGAGAGTGAATGATTTATAGTTCTCCTGAAAACCAATGTAAAGATACCCTCTAGCTGTGCTTATCTATAATTTGAATCTAACTTAAACAGATCTATATATTTACTGTATTCTACATTGATTATAACTGGCTGAATTGACAGAAATTCTTCAACCTATATGTGCAGCTGGTAACTAAAAGCTAATATCGAAGAAATCCGCTCATTACACAGATGTCATCAGAGACTGTTTTGTTACATTCCTGAATATGGACGACGGGGAATCACAAACCTTTATTACTAACTTCACATCTGTTGATCATTTTGATGGCTCTCTGAATCCAGTTGAAATTTGGAGCGAAAGGTACGATATTCAAGTTTTCTAGTGTGCCCGAGTGCCGGGATCTAGTTAAGGAGTCATAAATAGGACTTATTATGCATCCTAGTTTCCACTGCTATTTACGTACCAAATTTGCTAATTTGTAAGTTGATGATGTCGTCTAGAAGTTGAAAGAAAGCTTAACAGTTGAATCATCCAAATTAGAGGACAGAACACATCCAAAGATCATAAACATTATAAAAAATGCAAAACGTAAACGATAACATCAAATTTTGTTGATTTCACAATTTCTAAATTTCGTAATCATATTATAAAAACTGTAATGGAGTGTTGGACTTTTTATCAATTGATTGATGCATAGTAGTAGAGAATATGGTTTCCTAGTAACAACTGCTCATAAGATTACATTATTGACACATAAGGCTGTCAATTCCATTGATATACTAAGGCAATACGACTGACTAGTGTAACAAGCTTTTGTTTTTTGTAGACTGATGCTTATGCACTAAATGTGTGACAAAAATGAAGATAATTAATTGTCACTCTCTCCCTAATGCATGTAAGATCTTATTATTAGGCCGAAATTCTCGCCCTACATTATCATAAATAATAAGTAATAGTATTAACATACACTGTAACTATTCAATTATTTATGAATATCATTCCGTGATTAAATATATTAGATTATATGATGTAAAATGGAACTTCATTTATTTACCTTCATATTTGAAGTATTTCTATCGATTGATTTTGTTTGATCGTACTTTTTAATAGTAATCACAGTTGGAAATATATAACTAATCTTACACTATTGTTTACACTGCTTAGTCGTGTCGTACATATATGTGTATAGTGGTGGTCAACTAAATGTTAACAGGAAAATATAGAATACGCTTTGTGGATACCACAGTGAGTCTATTTGAAGTAAGCAATTTAACAATGTCATCGACAGCAAAACCGAGATATCTTAAAAAACATTTTGTTCACTAACAAATGGTTCTGTACCGTATGTCTAGTGATTCAACAATGGGTAGGGTAATAAGTGTTAACGGTAAGTACCATCAGTCTCAGATAATATTGATGTCCCTATCCATCAGTGGCCAGTATACGTGGTTGTGTGCCTATGAATTCATCCGCAGCATACCCGGCTGACCTGAACAGAGTTTTTTTAATACTCGGTATTTGAGAGTAGCCGAAAGGACTAGACCCCCCCGAACAACAGGCATGAATTAGTAATAGACAATGCATCACGTCATTGGAAATATTTTATTGAACCGTTATTAACATTGTTCAACCGTTACTCACACACTTAATGACGAAGGAAGTCATTCAGAATCTTCTAAGAGCATACCGAATAACTCCTAACCCAGCTTCACCTAAGGGCGCGTCCTCAGCTAAAGCAACATTCGGAAGAAAGACTCGCTCTTCATTTGACACCAGGTATCCACAGAAGAAAAAGCAAGACCGTGATATGTAAATTATTTCATTGTTACTTCTTGTTATACAAAAAGTCGCCCCCAAAGCTCCGTTTTTTTCTCTGTCTGATGATTTGCTTGTTTTTGTATACTTGTCATTCTATCTGTCTATTTGAGTGTTATATCCACATGTATTTTGTAATCATCCTCCATTGTACTAATTGTGCAACTCAATCTAATTATAACAAATTGTATTATCTAGTTACTTCATTCTTTTGAATTTGTTTTCTTTATTCAGGCAGTGCATTTGCTTCAGTTACTGTTGAGCCGAATTGTAATTTACTGGCTAGCGGACATGAGGATTCAACAATATCATTATTTGATTTACGTGGTGCTCGTTATATCAATGCATATAGACCACATTCAAATGAAGTGCGTAGTGTACGATTCTCACCAACTGCTTATTACCTACTATCAGCTAGTTACGACAAACGTGTTATATTAACCGACTTTCATGGTATGATCGATGTATTGTGTTATTGTTTTCCTCTCCTGTTTGTTTATTATAAATACACTGGTTAACATTTGTTATCTAACGTCTATTTGTTAAAAAAGCGATTATAGTTTTAACATTGATATTAATAATATAAACTTGAGAATTTGAAATTCATCGACCGTCGATTTTCAGATTATCTAAATTTACCGTCTAGAGTTATTATATTCTAGTAATTATCTATTATGAGATAAGTCTGTTGATAGTAATATTATGCTTTTTCGCTGTCTAATACAGTCACTATCACCTCCTTCGTTTTCAAGCCGATACACCTATGCAGCTGAAAATGTCCAGAACTGTTTGTATAACTTTATTGCCAAAAAAGCAAATAATTATATTTACAACTGATACGTATTATATAAATCCCCGATCATTTCAATCTTTTTATCATGATTAATTATTTCATTCCGTAAGTATTTTATAGTACATTCAGCGTTTCACCATAAGCTCTTTATAAAATCTGCATTAAAATGTTTAACTGTTAATGAATGAGTTCATTTTTTCCTTTTCTAACAAGGTTTTATTATGTATTTATAAAATTCACAGTATAAATATCAGTTCTACATATACCGCTCTAGTATTCTTAATGCCTATATTCAAATTATCAATTATTAAACTAAGTGATCTGTTTTTTTTTTGTTTCTTTCAAAAATTGTGTTATTGTCCATCAAAATATTTAGGTGATTTATCTCAACCATTGCCTTGTGTTCAATTAGCTGAGCATACGGATAAAATTATACAAGCACGTTGGCATCCTAATCAATTATCATTCATTACCTCAAGTGCAGATAAGAGTGTTATTTCATGGGCATTACCCACTGTGTGATATGACATTTATATTCTCCCAATGATCTCTTTGTTTCTACAAATACTAGGATAAACTTATTCATTTCTCTCTCTCTCTCTTCATATACACGGTTTTTATTGTCTGTTCCACATGCCTTCTTATATAATATTATTCAGCATCTGAATAATTATTTTCGTAGTATGCGCTTATTTAAAGTGTTTATACAAAATTATTATTATTATATCCTTTACTTACATACATTAAAACCAGTTTGTAATCAAAATTTATCTTTTGTGTGTGCCTAAATTGTTTATAGTGCAATAGTACGCTTGATATCCTGATGGAGTTCATGGATCATATATTATTTACTATTTTTTATTGATGTATCGAATACTCTTGATATGAGCTCTCCTCAGTTTGTACTTGTATCAATTTATATGGGTATGTGTTGACTTGCTTTCAGTGTGCATGTTTGTTTGACTTTTCAGCTATACTTCCCAATATAATATTTAAGAGATATATATGTTTTTGTGCTATTAAAATTTTCATTTTTCACTGATTATCTTTCAGCAGAAAAAAGATACTTTTCAGCTTATTAATGTTCGGTGTTCATATTTACTAAATTTTTACACTCGGTATGCTGCCTCAAATGGGGGGAAATTCTCGATTACACAGTGTATGCATTTCTACTGTGATACAGTTGTCTTTTCTTTTTACTTTCTTCAGCATTATCCTTTATCTGTTTTCTGTCATTTCATGCATCTACGGTGTTTTAATATTGTTATTATTACGTTTTCCTAAAAAATCAACTTATTTCTATCATGTATTTAGTTAGTTATTCGTTCGAAATAAAGCACGAAATTGATCCCTATCAGATATATGATCCGTGTTGGTAAATCAATCTGTTGATTCGTTTTAATAATTTAAAATAAAAAAAATTTGTTTCGTTTAAATCAAGGTAATGAAATGACTCATTTATCAATAACAAATTTGTTAACCCAACTTTGAGCAACAATGTGCATCTTTTATGTTTAAAAGCTAACGATAATAATCGATTGCCTAAGTCGAATCCGGTGAAGCGATGTTCCAATCTGTAAGCTAAGCGCGCAATCGTTTCACGTTCGTATATTTCCATGTTAACAATTAGGATAAACTGTCATAATTCAAATAATATAAGAGATTGTTAGAGTTCATTACTCCTGGCATATCCGAGCTCTACATTTATCAACCAAAGTACAGATATACAAAACAACAGTATACCCTCTATCATTCTGATTATAAAAAGTGGCTTATGATAACATAAAATATTTGTAGGCTCCTGGATTTTGTTCACATAGGTCTCTGGAGCATTGCTAATGTACGTTGAAACCACCTAGTGAGCTATGTTGAGTTTAGAGATAGGCAAGGACGGAAAGTAGATCCACAGAGTTCTGAAAACCGACTGGTTTGATATGGATATGTAATGTGTAACGGTCAACCTTGAAGTGCAATGCTGGCTGCTGCAACGGTGTGATGGAGTGAGCTAGCGACGTTTAAACCAAGATAACATTGGACCATGAAATTGTTGGGCCCCAGTAGGTTCATACGACCTACTCGGGGTCCTTGTGGTTTTCAAAATCAATGTATGAATGAGGCCTTAGACTCGGTCACGATGTTCAAGAAACATTCAGTCGTTCCTAGCACATTTCTAGAATTACCTTGAATCATATCGTATAACGTTAATGTTTTCTACCACAACCGGTACTATCAATACCTCTACTACTGTGTGATCTGTTTTAATGACTTTATCCCAGTGTGGCACAACATGGAATAATCCATATATTTCAGGTTCTGCGTTAATTATGGGTCGTCAAGAATTTATAATAATATTTGTGCTTAGATGTTACGGCTACTCGCCATAAATGACTTTTTTGGCTAAATATTTATCTCGATAACATAATGAGAAAACAAAGGTTTGTGATCACACATGTTGAGACATTTTTTTATTAAAAATAATATGTTAAGTATACAAATTAAAAGGTGATCGGGAAGAATAATAAAGTACACAAGAACAGTGTGCAAAGGACACTGAACAATAAATCCGTATTACCAGGGTAGGTTAAGGGGAAGAAAAAAATGAACATATAAAGGGGGTTTCAGTTCCCATATAGTCAAGACTTCAATAAACCTTAATTTACGCCCTTGAAGGTTTTTGTACAAAACTACAAAGACTGACTTGATATCAACATTGTGACCGCTCGCAACCAAATGTTTCACAATAGAGGAGGATGCTTTTCTGTCTTGTGATATTATTTAACCGTTGGAATTCATTTGTTTTTGCATCCATTTAGGTATGTGTACAGCGACCTTTGCTTACTAATCACGATTACTCTTCCCTGTGTACTTGTTTTCTCAAATACATGTACATTGATAGGCGAAATGGAATGTGACACATTCGCTTACGTACTATTTGAGTTTTTGGCGAAACAGACCTTGTCTTTTCACTAATGACGAGTTGAGCTGTATTAAATGTCCATTCCTAGCTAATTTAAATCTGTTTCTACATGGGAGTATTTGAGTCACCTCAAAATATACATTCGTAAATAAAGTGCATATTGTCTTAGTTTTAAATTATTATCCATTAAGTACTTTGAATATGCCACAGGTATTTGGAGTTTGAGAACGATTTACCCAATAACAATTTCTACTATGAATCGTACCCACCAAGAGAAATCAAAAGACAGAAGCGAGGAGATTCGAAGATATATTTGATAGGTTATCAATATGTAGCGGAAAATAAATCCCCAAGACAAATAGTTCTGTAAGTCTTCGATATTGGGTGCTGACTACATTAGTTTTAATAGACTCACCTTTCTGAATGCGCTCGGTCATGCATCCACACCAGATCATGAGTGGGAACGCCGTGCTCAACATACCTTGCAATCGCTAGCCAGATTAGTTCAGTCGATCCACGATATGTTGATAGCCTATCAAATATATCTTCGAACCTGCTCACTTCTATTTTTGATTTCACTTGGTGGGTATGATTCATATTAGGTGTTGCTGGTTAAAGCGTTGTCAAACTCCAAATACCTGTGGCATCTTCAAACATATCGAGGATCAACAGATCTCGGCTGGATAGCGATTGATGTTGAGCACGGCGTTCCCACTCATGATCTGGTGTGGATGCATGACCGAGCGCCTTCAGCTGGGTGAGTCCATTAAAATTAATGTAGTCAGCATCCAATGTCGAAGACTTACAGATATATTTATTTTCATTATTCGTTTACTACTACAACTTAATTAATCTAACTGAGTTATTCAAAAAATACAATTTATTTCTGATGGGGTTTGATACTTTTGTGAGCCATTTCGCCAGATTGTGTGTAGATGATCGACACGTTGATAGAACTGGCGTAAAGGGTTATTGGATTTATGAACTTTTAGTGATTCATATAAATTAAGTGTTTTACCGCTCGGTTTTCTTTGTCTGCACGAATCAGAAGTTAATTCAGCTTAGACGAATATCTACACTAGATTCCCTTCTAGAGTCTATTCTACAGGATTCCAACAGAACTCTAGTTTACTTTAAATCCAACTTCAAATCTCTAAGGATATAAGGGTTAACGTACTCAAATGATCATAGAGGTTTTCGAATTGGGCATTATCGAAGTTTATCTAAGTGACTAACTGCTTTAAATTCTCATTACCATTGTGAAACGTCCCTGTCTTAATATCGTCTAACAAGATTTCTTGCCTAGTAACTTAAAAGATCGTACAGAAGCGGTATTGGTTGTTGTATTAAACACGTCCGACTTCAAATGAGCGAGTTTCAAATCTATAATGATGTGATGAATAATTGTTATTAATCCGAAAGAGATGTAATATGGTGACAAAAAAGTTTTGGTTGGTAAACTAATTCACTGTGTTAAACAAAATCACATATTGTATTTGTAGAAGATGAAAACAAAGCATTAAATACACTAATTGTCCGCATTTATTGATTTATCCCACACAAACTCCTTTGAACTTTCATTCATGTTGTTATTTCGAATACTTTTTGTTTTCCTTCCTCTTCTGCTCACAAGAATTCTACTTTCAATTCCTGATATATACTGCTCACATCTGCCATACAATTAGTACACAACACAAATGAGTTTTTCCGAAAGCAAAAGAACTAACACTGCATATAAGGACAAGATACGAACAAAGAATTACGAATACAGGAACTGTATGTTTGGTGGATCTTCACACACATGCATACTTAAAGTATATTACAGCTAGTATCTAATCAGATACAAAGTCTTCCCAAACCCTTTCACTTGAAAGACAGAACAAGTCATAGATTAACTCCCAATTAAAAAGCTAAGAAATCAACAGTAATGGGTTGCAATACAATAAAAAATTCAGGCGCACTTCCTTATACTTTCATCTTTTAAAGCCACTCGGAGTTCTAAGCATTGGTCTGTGGTTTAATAGATTAAACCCTTCATTTGACTGTTCTGTTGGCTCTTCATTACTTGTCTTGGTTATAATATATCAATTCCACAGTTCAGCTATCAATTAACTCCTTCAGTTTCTTAAACGCATTTGCTTGTAAATGATTAGTATAAATACAAAATAAATCACCCGTTAATCCTTCTGATTTGCACAGCAATGCACTGAATACAGTTTGCTTTAATCAACTAAGTACATTTCAGAAGTATTTAGAAGCACTTCAACTCAGTTAAATGTTGTAGTAATATTGGTCATAACCACAGAATCTTTAGTGCTGAACGTGAGATAACTGAGAAAATGGATACTCAACATTTAACACTGAGAGAAGGCTAACAAGGGAGAAGGTGGGAACTTTTTATTATTCAATCCGATGGCATGGCTCTGCGTTTCAGGCGTGATCATTCTTATGTAAGTTATTTCTGTTATACCTATTAAATATGTTGTTCTATCTACAGTCTAAGTATGTTTTTTAGAAACTCCAAACATTACATTGCTGATTGTTACGAATCAGAATATACAGTGATGGGACCTACACGTAAGATCTTATAGATTATGTTTTCACA